TGTCTGCCAATTTTTTTCGATACAGTGACTCAGTATATTCTTTCCATCTTCTTTTAATGCTTCCTGGATCATTTAACATTCTGTAGTAAGATTAGCAGGTGCATTTCCCCAATTTTTCTTGGCATCCTCTAGAGATATACTTGAGCCCCATAGTATAGGTTCCATGCTCTGTGGACCTGTGACCAGCAACAGGGCTGTTCCTTTCTTGGTGGATGCTCTTTGTAGAGGAGTCATCTATGAGCCGAAAAAGAACTGGACTTGAAAAAGTCTGAGTGACTATAGATCCCAGCTATTGAGGGAAATATTATGAGCCATTGAGTCGCTGGTGACTCACAGCAACCCTGTGTACAGGTAGCTTTGAACCGTGCTCTGTCCTCAACCAGAGTCACTGACTTAGCACACTTAATTCCATTGAATCAGGTGCCATGTCAGTCCATCTCATTTGGTGTCTTCCTGTCCTACACTGTCCCGCCACCCTTCCGAGCATGATGTCATTCTCCAAGGACTGTCATTCCAGGCCATGTTCACAAAGAATGTGAGATAGAGCTTCAAAATCCTTGCTTCCAAGGAGAAACTTGGTTTCACCCTCTCCAAGACAGACCTATTTCTGTTCTCCTAGTGGTCCATTGTATGTTCAGTACTCTTTTTTTTTTCTCATTAATTTTAATGAACGTTTACAGAGACTTAGGGTTTCCATTCATTCATTGTTGCGTTTTTCTCCCTTCCCACTCCTCCCCCTAATTCTCTCTTTGAGAAGTAAAATTGTTTTTATTGTTGTAAAATCCCTCCCCCCAAGTCCATTCCACTGTGCAGCCTTCATTCTGGAATCCTGTCATGACAAAAATGCCTAATCATATATCCCTTTTAAACAGTTTTCTCCCTCATCTGTTTCAATGCAGTAAACGATTTCCTCTTTCTCAGTCTTACCTCAACCCCAGTGTCAGTCCTGTTTTACAGCAGTGGTCCTATGCAATATTTGTTTTTTTTGTGACTGAGATATTTCACTCACCATAATGTCCTCCAGGGTCACTCATTTTGTATAATATTTCATGTGTTTCTTGTTTACCAGAGCATCTCTATCCATTTTTTGTGGATGGGCATTTGGGTTGTTTGCAGCTCTTTGCTATAGTGAACAAAGCCACAGTAAACATGGGTGTGCATATATCTGCTTGGGTGGCGGTTATGGTTTGTTTAGGGTATATTCCCAATAGTGGAATTGCTGGGTCAAATGGTATTTCTATTTGCAACTTTTTGAGAACGTGCCATAGTGCCTTCCTTAGGGGTTGCACCAATTTACACTCCCACCGACAGTGAATAAGGCTTCCAGGTTCTCTGCAATCTCGCCAGCATTGAATGTTTGCTACTCTGTTAAATTTTCCTGTTCTTACCGGAGTGAAATGATATCTCATAGGTGTTTTGATTTGCATCTCTCTTAGAGCTAGGGATTTTGAACATTTCTTCATGTACTTTTTGGCCATCTGAATGTCTTCTTTGGTGAAGCGTCTGTTCATATCCTGTGCCCATTTTTCGATTAAGTTATTTACCTTTATCTTGTTGTGGTATAGGTTACTCTGTTTATCCCTGCCTGCTTTCAGAATTCTTTCCTTATCTTTGCTTCTCCAAATTTATCTATGATATGCTTTGGTGTTTTTCTTTTGGGATCTATTCTATATGATGTTCACTCAGCTTCTTGAATGTATATTGTCTCATTCTTCATTATTCCTGGAACGTTTTCCTCTAGTAATTCTTCCACAACTTTTTGAGTACCGTTACTTGCTTCTTTCTGTTCTGGAATTCTGTTGATGTACATGTTATTTCTCTTGATGGTGTCCCACATTATTATTAGGTTTTCTTCTTTTTCCTTCCTTTTTTATTCTGTTTTTTGTTCTAGCAGATCAGTGATGACAATTCTATCTTCTGTTTCACTGGTTCTGTGTTCCATCTTTTCAACTGTGTTCATGTGTCCCTCCATCATGTTGACAGCATCTGAAACCTTGGACCCATATTTTGGATCGTGTTTTCTTGTGTTTCCAGTGCCGCTTGTACCTCGTTTGTTTTAAATGCATTGTTTTGGATTTTTTTTTTTTAAGCTGCTCCTGATTTTTGCTTCCAGTGTGCTGTAATTCTTCAAGTTTGTCTTTCATCTGTTGAAAATATTCAGTCATCGTTCTTTTAAATTTTGTATCAGAAGCTTCAGGAAAACCATTGATTCTGTGTCACCTTTTAGGGGTGACATCTTGCTTTGTGATTGTATAGTGTGTGAGATAGCTTGCTTTCTTCGAGACATTGATAGGTTCTTGATGTGAAGACAATGCTGTAGAAATCAGCCGTGTTTTTCTCTGAACTTCTGACTCAAGGGAAAGTTCACTTGAGGGCCTGTGAGAGAGCAGCCTCTTATAGCTCTTATAGCTAAGTCAGATCATGGTGCTCCAGATTAAAGGGAAGTCATTTGACTGGACGTGTAGGCATAGGTGTGGAGCTGAATGGGGGGTGAGGTAGACATGGGTTGGGAGAACTACAGGGACAGGTCCGCAGCTTGCCTCACTCAGATTTCAGCTGTCCGATTTTGCTTATGAGTGTAGTCCCTACTGAAAATCCAGCTGTCTGTTTCCCACCAAGCCGCTCTGGCTCAGAATTTGCTGCCCAGCAGCCCTTACCCCAGGTGCCCTCGCACAGCAGCCCCTGCCTCAGCAGGGTCCTGGGTCCATCAGGACCCAAGAAAACTCTGTCAAATTCCCACTTACCCACTCGCTTCTGGCCAGTCTGTAGTGCCCACAAAAGCTCAGTCAAATTCCCACCAGTTCATTCGCTCCTGGGCAGTTGGTGGAGGCATAATACAACTCAGTCAAATTCCAACAGACCTACTTGCTCCTAAAGGGACTTAAGAGAACTAACCTCCTTTCTCCTGGTGGATGGGTCCCACAGCAGCTTGGCTGGCCACTTCTGACTTCGGCTGGGGCTTGTGGCGCAGCTCAATGCTTTTGTAGCTCCCAAGCTAATTATTTTCATAAAAGTTCTGACTCAAATTCCTACTGTCCATGTCATGCTGTGTCGGTCTCTGTGTGCCGTGACGGTCTCTCTAGTAGCCAGTTTTTATTGCATCTTGCTGCTCCTTCAGATCCTCACACTACGTTCTCCATCGCCACCATCTTGGAATCCCTCCTGTTCAGTACTTTTCTACAGCACCACAACTCTAAGGCATTAATTCTTCTGCCATCCTTAATCATCTTTAATCCTTAATCATAGTCTAGCATAGTCTAATGCATAGCAAGTAACTGCAAAGACCCTGGCTTGGATCAGGGGCACTTTAGTTTCTAGACTGACGTCATTGCTTTTTAGCATTTTGTTGCTGTGTACCGTAGAGTTGGACCTGATGGATAGCTGACCCTCTGGTGAGTTTTCAGAAGTAGTTAATTACACAGGAGGAAATGGCCCATCCTTCTCCTGTGGTGCAGCTAGTAGCCTTTAACTCTGAAATACCTTTGAGATTTTACCCAAAATACCCAAATACCTTTGGGATTGTAATGGCAGCTTTTTGCCACTAGCCCACTAGAGCTCCTTAGGAAGTGTCAAGTGCTTAGTATATGTAACCCTGGGCCTTTAATCTCAGTAAGCCTACTACTGCAACTAAGATTGAGCCATTTTTATAATCCATTTAGAAGAATTGACTGATTTTTTTTTTAAAGTCTTCCCTGTCTGGTTTTGAAGTGTAAAGTTTCCATTTTGTGCCGTTTCTCTATCTGGAATCATTTTAATACTAACTGTGATGCTTACTAATCAGACATAACTAGTAAGTCTCATGGGCCAGAATCTCAGTTGCTTGGTTTGGTAAGGGAGATTTAGAAGACGTTTATTTTAATCTTTCATGTCTAAAATTTTATTTTGTTTTTCTATATATAAGATCTTCCTAGGTAAAATTTGATTTAGTCTTCATACACAAGTACTAGTTTTCATTCCTTTGGATACTGTGGTGATTCTGATGGAAAACAGCAATGGACAAGACAGAGTGTCAGGGTATCTTCTTCATAGATCATAACAGATTAGGGACTTGAAGACAGGCTCTTGTCATGTTATTATAATATGGTGCCACAGTTGTAGAATGAGGCTGACATCAGGGTGGGGATAAGACTGAGAAAAACTGTATAAATTTTGTTTACTGCATTGAAGCCGATGAGGGAGAGAATAGTTTAAAAGTAATATATTTTAGGGCATTATGATTATTGTAAGAGTCCAGAATGAGGGTTGAAGAGTGGAGTATACTCAGGGTGGGTGTGGGAGTATGTGTGGGGATCGTGGGGGTGGGGTGGGCACGGAGAAAAGTGCAACAATGAATGAATGGAAGTCCAAAATCTCTGTAGATGTTTATTGAAATTAATACAATTTTTTTAAAAATCGTGGAAATTTATATCTCAGTTGTTATGTGCCATCGAGTTGCTTGTGATTTATAACGACTCTATGTACAATAGCTCTGAACCTTGATTTACCCTGTACCAACATTAATGTCTTTGACATTACCCCAATCACTGAATCAGTCCATCTCATCAAGGATCTACCTCTCTTGTGCCGTCCCTACACCCTCCCAAGTAAGATGTCCCTCTCCAAGGACTGATTCCTCTTTGCATCATGTCCAGAGTAGGTCAGAGGAAGCGTCAGAATCCTTGTCTCCAAGGAACAGCCTGGTTTTACCCACTCTAGAATGAACTTGTTTGTTCTCCTAGCGGTCTGTGATATATACAGTACTCAATCTACACCACCAACACTTAAAGACATCAGTTCTCCTATCATCCTTAGTCATGTTCCAGCGTCTGATGCATAGAAAGTAATTGCCAAGACTGTGGCCTCGATCAGGTGCACCTTCGTCTCCAGACTGATATCATTGCCATTTAGTATCCTGGAGAGGTCCCTGATAATAGACTTTTCCAATGCAGGTCATCTTTTGATTTTCTGGCTGCTGTTACCAAAAGTGTTGATTGTGGAGCCAAGCAAACTAAAGCTATTAACAATCTCAATCTCTTCATCATCAAAAATGATTCTGCCAGTTAGGCCAGGGGTGAGAATCGTTGTTTTCTTGATGTTGAGCCTCAATCCATATTGACAGTGCTACAGTCCTTGACGACCTGCAGCAAGCGCTTCAGATCCTCCTCAGTTTGAGCAAGTTGGGTTGTGTCATCTGCATAATGCAGGTTGTTGATGAATCTTCCATCAGTCCTGATGCCCATTCCTCATAAAGCCAACCCTCCTAGATGATCTGTATATAGATTAAAAAGGTGTGAAGACAGGACACATCCCTGGTGTACACCCTTCCTGATTTTGAGCCATGTTGTGTTTCCTTATTCTGTTCAGACAACTGCCTCCTGGTCCAAGAATAGCTTTTGTATTAGCACATTCAAATGTTTCGGGATTCCCGTTCTTCTCAGAAGAAGAGCCCCAGTTTGTGGTGATTCACACATTCAAATGCCTTTGCATAGTCAGTAACACACACGTAGACATTCCTCTGGTGCTCTCTGCTTTCAGACAAGATCCATATAACATTAGCTGTAATATCCTTAGTACCATGACCTCTTCTAAACCCATCCTACATTTCTGACAGTTCTCTGTTGATGTACTGTTCCAGGCGTTTTTGAATAGTGTTCAGAACCTTGCTTGCATGTCATATCAGTCATATTGTTTGATAATTTCTGCACTCTGTCAGGTCACCTTTCTTTAGATTGGAAACAAGTAGGGCTCTCTTCCAGACAGTTGGCCAGTTGGTTGTGCTAAAGCACAACTTGATGAGCACATCCAGGGTAGCATCTTTGTTTTTAACATGCCAATTGGTATGCCAACAATTCCTGGGGCTTTGGTGTTTTTTTTTTCAACTCAGTTAGAGCAACTTGAGTTTCTTTCTTCATCACCATAGGTCTTGCTTATATGTTGTTCCATTAAATTATTCTGTGTCAGCCAATTCCTCTTGATAGTGACTCTCTTCTCCTTCCATCTTCTTTTACTACTTCCTGGATCATTTAATACTCCACCCAAAGCATCCTGAAGTGCAACTCAAGGCTTGAATTTGTTCTTTATTTCCTTCAGCTTAAGAAATTCCAAACGAGTTTGGTTCCTTTGAGTTTCTGGTTTCAGCTCTTTGCATATTTCATGATAATACCTTGCTTTGTCTTCTTGCGCTGCCCTTTGAAATTTTCTTTCAGCTCCTTGATTTCTTCTCTTTGCTTTGGCATTCTAGTACAATATTCAGAGTCTTGTCTGACATCCATCTTGGTCTTTCCTTCCTTCTCTGTCTTTTTAATGATTTTTTTGCATTCTTCATGGATGATATTCTTGATATCGTCTCACAGCTCATTTAGTGTTTGCTCATTGGTGTTCAAAGCCTCAAACTTGTTCTGAGATGATTTTTAAAGTCAAGGTCAAATTTTGGTTCCTGTGGGTTTGGTTTCATTTTCTTTAGTTTCAGCTTGAACTTGCATATGAATTATTGGTGGTCTGTTCGACAATCAGCACCTGGGTTTTGTTTCTTCTCTTTCAGATGGTGAAAAAAGCCAGGACGATGATGAAGAAAGCTCAAAGAAAGTTGAATCGTTTGGGGAGAAAAGGCGAGGCAGATAGACACATGTTTGACATGAAGCCAAAACACCTGCTCTCTGGAAAGCGGAAAGCTGGTAAAAAGGATAGGAGATAGGGTTGACTGAACTGTGGACATTGGTATACAAAAATTTAACATTTATATTTTAACTGTTTTGAGTATGTTTGGTTGACGTTAAGTACATTCATGCCCTTAGTTTGACTAAAACATAAACTGAAAGTAAAATACTTTGTGCTTTGCTTAAAATCATGGTTAAACTTAAATATACAGGTACAGGAAATTTTTTTTATGTCATAATTTTACTGATACATTCTTATTGAATGAGCTGTGCTTTTATGACGTTTTGATTGTTTCCAAGTCACAGATTTATCTTGCTAGCAAGATGGACCTTGGTTTCTGACCACATGACGTTATCTTTCCCTCCTTCACCTTTTGGAAAATGTAAAACATCTCCACTTGTCAACTTGTGGAGGTGACTGCCAATGTCTTTGTTCTTTAGCTAAAGGAGATAGTGCTGCTAAGTGTATTGGAGAACCTCAGAGCTTTAGTTGCTTTTTAAATTATTGTTTATGTTTATAGAATATGTCTATCTTCACCTTTTTTTTTTTTACCTTTTTTTTAATCTTCACCTATTTTATCAAAAAAATTTCTAACAAACTAGTTTTGAGGGAGAAGACATTCATTGCAAATCAATACTGATTTGGGCAAATGAACAGTGAAAAAATGAAATAACATGTCTTTGTTGTTTTCAAATTGTAATATACTTTATTGGCAATAAAGTTTTTCAGGTATTGCTACAGTTAAGTCTATTTCCTGCGTCTGCTTTTCACAGTTGCGAATTCTGTGTTTAGTAAAACACATTAATGCCTTTCTCTAAACCTCTTGGTAGTCTTATTTTCTCATATTTTAGAATTAGAAAAACTATCAAGTGGCCATCAACTCACAAATTGTTTTCATTTTCCATGGTAAATGTAACTGTCATACACACTCTCATGACCTCAGAACAGCCCAGTGCTGACACTTATTTGCTGTAATCTGAGCCTTAGCCGTTCTCCTGTGCTGATACCCTTAGACTTTCAGAGTTACGCATTAATATTCTGCTGTTACATTTGGCATGTAATTCTTGTACACAGTGATGTTTAAGATGTTGCACTACGTTTTTAAGATAGCAAGTAAGATTTTCATTTGTTGAAAAGGTTATATTGAAAGGTAGTCAAACTCCCAGGAAGGATTCTGGAAAATCTTAACCAGAGAAGTATGCAGGTGTGATGAAGGAAGGTAGCTTGCTTAATAAAGTAAATAAGATAAATAGCACTTTCTGTCTTATTTAGAAAGTAGGAGTAGTAGTTGTTGTTGTTGGAGTTGGATACCGTCAAGTTGAGCATGACTCATTGCTATACTATGAACAAAAAATCTGAGTCCTGTTCTGTCCTGTGCCTATCACTTCTTAATGTGCTGGAGCCCATTGTAGCAGTCACTGTATCAGTCCGCCCAGTTGAGGGTTTTCCTCTCCTTCGCCGACTCTCAGCCCTTCTAGAATCATGTCCAAACTATGTGAGGCAAAGCCTCATCATTCTTGCCTCCAAAGAGCACTCTGGCTGCACCCTCTCTGAGACATACCCGTTCATTCTCTTGGCCGTCTATGAGATAGATGTTCAGTGCCCTTCTCCAATACCACAGCTCAAAGGCATCAATTCTTTTTCTGTCATCCTTTTTCATTGCCCTGCTCTTGGATGCATAGCTAGTAATAGGAATGACTATGGCCTCAATCTGTCTTCAAACTGATAACACTACTCCTCAATAATTTAGAAGAGCCCCTAATTGCACATTTTCCCAGTGCAGTGTGTCTCCTTGGTACTGCAGGTAACAAGGGTGCTAATTGTGGAAGTTAAAGCTGTTGACAGTTTCAGTCTCCTCTCCATCCATCATGACGCTGCCTATCAGTCCCATGGTAAGAATCTTTGTTTTCCTGACATGAGATGCAATCCATACCGTAGGCTGCATTCCTTTATCTTCTGTAACAAAGTGCTTCAAGCCCTTTTTACCTATCAGCCAGATATATATGCTTCTATATCAGAGAGGAAGACATTTTTACCAAAAATATACCAAGAGAATTTTCACCAAATTTTGCAGTCCAAATTTGACTGAACATGCAATCAGGATACATTAATGATAATTTATGACTGGAATGCAAAAGTAGGAAACAGTGAAGAAGGAACAGTAGTGGGAAAATATGGACTTGATGATAGAAGTGAAGCTGGAAAATTGATTGTGTTTTGTATTAACAATGATTTATTCATTGCAAATACCTTTTCTGAAAGACACAAAAGATGACTTTACACGTGAATCTCACTTAATGGGCTGCATAGGAATCAGATTGACTATATATGTGCAAGAAATGGTTGGAGAAGCTCAGTATCAGCAGTCAAAACCAGTCCAGGGGCACACTGTGTTTCACTGAACTGAAACAAGTTCAAATTGAAGCTGAAGAAAATGAAAATAAGTCCACAGTAGTCAGAATATGTCTGAGGCATTGAATACCAATGATTGAAGACCAGATAAATTGTGATATGATATCAGCTATATCCTCCACAAAGAAAGCAAAAGGTCATTAGAAAAACAGAAAGAAAAAAATTGAAATGCATGTCTAAAGAGACTCTGAAAATTGCACTGAAACATCAAGAAGCCAAAATGAAAGGAAAACATGCTGAAGTAAAAGACCTGAGCAGAAGATTTCAAAGAGCAATTTATAAGGACAAAAAAGAGTATTAAAATGGAATGTACGGAGAGCTTGAATTTGGAGAATGTTAACAGGAATTTCTCAAGCTGAGTGAACTAAAATTTAAACCTCAACTCACCATATTGAAAGATGCTATGGGAAACATAAAGGAGGAGAAAGAAGTTGTAAACAGACACAAGTGATTGGAGCGCAGAATGTGAGAAGCATTGAATGTATGAAAAACGGGCATTCTTAAGAAATGGTATGCATAAATATTGACATACTAGGTACTGGCAAAGTAAGATAGATTGGCATGAGACAAGACAATCATATGATCTGCTGTGTCAGAAATGAAAAGGTGAGGAAAAATGGGATAATTTTTCATAGTTTAAAAAAGTCACAATGTTGTGAGTGGCAGGATAACTGTGCATACAAGGAAGTCCAGTGAATGCCACTATCATTGGATGCCAGTATATATACCAACGATAAAAGCCATAGAAGAGGAAACATTGTTTCTACCAGATTTTGCCAACAGCAACCAATCAAATGTGCAGTCAAAATGCATTAATAATAATAATGAGTGACTGGAATGCAGAAGTTAGAAACAGGGAAGAAGAATCAGTAGTCGGAAAACATGGACTTGGTGACAGAAATGAGACTGGAGATAGAATAATAAGAGTTTTGTATAATCAGTGATTTATTCATTGCCAGTACCTTTCATAAGACATAAACACAGCCTATACACATGTATTTCACCTGATGCACAGGAATCAGAATGATTACATCTATGGAAAGAATCATTGGAAAAACTATCAGCCATGAAAACTAGGCCAGGTGGTGGTTCTGGAAGACACCATCAACTATTCATACACAAATATAAAGCAAAAGAAGATTAAATCACATTCATAGGAACCCAAATTTGACCTTGAGTTTATCCCACCTGAATTTCAAAACCATCTCAGAAGTGGTTTGAGGCTTTGAACACTGATGAACAAAGACCAGATGAGCTGTAGGAGGATATCGAGAATATCATTCATAAAGAATGCAAAAGGTCATTACAAAGAGAGGGAAGGAGATGGGACTGAAGCATCCCAGGGTCCAGACGGTACAAGAGACTTTAGCAGAACAAGAACTTCAAGCAGAAAAAAGAATTTTCTTAGCTCTGTGAGAGAGCTGCCATGAGACCCACTGCATACAAGTGGCCTGAGCTGGTGGTCCTAATCTCCTGCCACACCAGAGACAAAGGAAGACACTAAGCTGCAGGAGAAAAGGTGAGGGAGGAGAGGCTCTGTGCATTGCTTGTGGGGAGACAGGACTGAGGCATCCCTAGGTTTATAGGTCCCTTCATCTGGGGATTGCCTCCCTGGATGCAGGCCAACTCAGGATCTAAAGAGGACAAGAAATATCAGTATACAGAACTTCAAGCAGAGAGAAGACTTTGTAGTTCTCTGTTAGAGAAAGGGCTAACTTGAGATCCTCTGCACACAAGCTCCTTAAACTGTCAGCCCCGATCTCTAATCTCGAGTCACTACAGAGACAAATTAAGCTCCAGGAGAAAAAGTGTTTGAGAAACAGCTTGAATTGGGCACCAGATCTCACTCCACTCAGCAACTTCATACATGAAAGAGGCCAGAGTTGGGGTCAGGGGACTACATCAAGGCAAGATTCCTACAGGGCTGCAGTGCAGAACAGAGAAAAAACATCAAAGACTTTAGGAAATGCAAATATTCCCAGAAAGGACTTAGAGTAGAGTAAGTACACTGGACATTTTTTTTT